AAGTCTGTTTTCTAAAACTCCATTATATATAAACAAGTGAAGCTTCCATTCACAAGCAGTGCACACAGTTTCCACAATGACTTGACAATCGATTCTTTAAAGTCTGTTCATTGAACGAGGTACCCCAGCTAGTACTAGTATATATATTATATATAGTGTTACGTTTACAAGTTAAATCAGGACTTGAGAACACAGGCTGCCTGTTATCTCTCCTACAACAGAAGGTATCACACAAGTTTTACGACACTCTTCAATGTCAAGTATGTAGAAATATACAACTAGAGGTATCAAGGTATTGAGCAAGAGATATAGAGTTAGAGGTATAGAGGTATAGCAACTCTCCACGCGAAACTCTACCACATTAATGTCAACATCATCTAGCTCTCTGATACAGAGCAAGGAGAAAATCGACCCCTTACTACATTTACAACTCAGTACAGAGTAGGCCTACATAGATCTAGCTTCATTCACTACTTGTCTATCGACAGTATGCATACAACATGAACTACCATCCACCGCACTTTTGACTCGTGCCCAAAATCTTGAGGTATTAAAGTTTTCTTTTTTTTTTTTTACCCTAAAAAGTCAGAAAACTCAAACAATATTTTGTCGTTCATTACTTTATTGTTCACATAATGATTGAGAACACAAGAGAAGCAGTAGATGGGCTATATCTCTGCATCGTTCGCTTGGGTTGCATAAACTCCACACTCCACACCAAAAATATCTTACATCGAACATGGCAGATCCTGTTCTTTTTTTTCTATAACAGTTTATCAACATCATTATTTTATTTTATCTATTCATCAATGATGCTTAGATCTAGTATGAATATCATTTCATAACATCTTTGCTCTTAACTTAGTAAATATTCAAAATAATCACTTATGGGCTTCTTAAGAAATTCCATGATTTCAGAAAGTTTTCAAAGCTTGGTAAAAGAATAATACTATTGTATCTTTACAATAAAACAGATTTCTATATCACAAAATACTTGACGCAGCAATCTGAGAAGGCAGCTAAGTAAATAATATATGAACACAAATGAATTATTATCACATAATCTGCATTCATATGCATGAGACAGAAAACTGGGTAGATCATATCACAGGCAAGTTTCATGGAATGACGTTTGATAACAAACTTATGTAAAAAAAAAAATGTGTTATCAAACCTGGCTTGTCACCAAAAATGTGACATACAGCCATCTGAGACAGCAATGGGCGGAGAGTAAAGGTTTTTGGCTGATCAATATAGATCTAAAAACTGCATTACCTGAAAGTGTTATTCCAACATTCAAGGAGATATATATCTGTACATCAAGAACATGCAAAGACAATTTTTTAAAATATTACTGTAGGCCTTTATGAAAGGCTATGTCAATGTGAGACAGATTAATGAGCACATGGGATTTCCTTCTGATGATAGAAAGAGTTCACTATTGTATACTCAAACTCTCCTGAAAGATGATTTTTTTTTTTAAAAACAACAAAAGTTACTCCATATGTATTTACAAAGAAACCTGACACAGACTTTCCATCAATACCCACAAAAATGTACCATTCAGAAGACAAGTTTTCTAGCACAATAAAAATGTTTCATTAAAGTTCATTTTTTCACAATGTATAGTCCAAAAGCCCTCATGTAAACACATAATCTATAGTCCAAGCGCCCTTATGTAGGCACGTAGTTTCACAGACGAACATGATGTAAAAGTCATGAACAACACAAAGGCACATCTCTACTTCCTGATTCTAAGAAGAGCCTCCGACAATAACTTTCAGAAATATCTAAATGCATATATATATATAGGTTGTTAATGATTGACATAAATGCATAAACTACGTAAAATGCTTTACCAATACTCAAGGCACATTATCTATAATTGTTTTAATGCTGTAGCGATAAATCTTTCTGGATTTGTTTTGTTACAGATTGGCCTTGTCAATATAAGGGCACCAGTAGCTGAAGTCACATTTCCCTTTTCCGACACATTTTCCACATTGGTGAAATTAACTCTTTATCTCCGGCAAGCCACTCCCAGCAGCTCTCGGTCGGAACCACAGTGCCAGTGAAATGCCGACAGCGGCTCGGGCACATTCCTTTACGACGACTTCCACATCAAATTAATTTTCCGCAATTGCCAAAAACAGATCTCTTTAACCGGGAGTTCATTCATTAGACGAAGAACTATCAAAATAGGTTCACTTGATTTGATTTAAAGACCAATTTAGTAACATTTTTATCATTTTTAGATTTAGTACCAAAAAGGGTCCTCCCCCACGGAGATAAAGAGTTAACTAGAAGAACATGATGACACCATCTCCAACAGCCTAATCTAGGTGTTGAGATTTTTTCGGTTGTTTCGTTCTGTTTGACTGAACTTATGCAAGTTGTGTCCAGGCATATGTGCATATATGAGGCTTTGTTCCAGGGGGCAGGGTTAGTTTGTAGGAATGAATGTATATGTATATATCTCGTGTGTATATATATATATATATATGTCAGCTACAGGTTTCTAAAGAATACTGTTTTTTTCCCCAAAGCTGAGAGCCTGAAAGAACATCTCTAACATCTCTACACAAAAGCTTACACCTCTACACAGGTAAACAAATCACTCACACCCACAAATCTATAAATCAGTAATACAATATATTAGCACTTTGCAGTCACACAGCCAGCAGTACAAACTACCCCATCTGGTCACCCAGTCAGGAGAGCGACTGCAACAGACTTCTCGGGCCTGGCACAGAACTGCACCAGGTGACAGGAACGGATGATTTTCACTGGTGCATTATTGTGCCAAGTGACTGCAAAGTGTTAATGTGACCTGTATATTTACAAGATAGGTCGCTTTTAAGCACAAGGGGGCTATCCTGAAAAATGCTGTTTAGAGAAAATTGAAGGTTAAGTTTTTGACCTTATTCAGTTTCTTTTAAAGACAAGGAGAGTTTTCTCTATAACCAAACAAATATACACACCAATGAAACAAAACTCCTCTTACAGGTAAGGAAATGCCCACTTTTGGAGTAGGTCAAGATTTCTGGAAACCCCCGAAATCTGTTAGCCCGCTTGTCCTTAAAAGTGACCACATATGCCTAACATGTTTCAGATCCTCACCATGTGCTGGAGCTCAAACCTCCTGTAAAGGTTCTGTCTTGTCTGTGACATTGTTAATGTTAGACTCAAACTCACCTCTTTCGACAATTTTCTCCTCATATTCAAGTCAAAGCTAAGTGAAAAGTCAGTAATTGTCCATGTTCTTGATGATGTATGTATTTCAGTGGATGACTGTATACCTCGCCTTGATCTGTATCTGTCAACTCTTTCTGGGTGTCAACTCTGTATAAGTCATTCAATCATTAACAGAACATGTCTATAAATCATTAAATCATAAACCATGGACAGAACTTGTCTACATATCATTAAATCATTGACAGAACATGCTATTTTCAGATTGTACCCTGTGTAAACAATGATAAAAAAAGTTGGAGAATGGTCTAGATCTAGTATTCGATGGTTGAGATATCGCTCGGCTTCTCCTGACTCACACTGCTAGCCTCCGTCGGTGTCGCTGGCTGGACGGTTTCCCCGAGCTTGCCTGAGCCCCCGGCACCCCCTGTGTTGCTTTCCTCCGTGGGTCTGGAACTTCCTTCGCTGTAGTGGTCGTCTGTGTGTGGCTGTGACGCGTCTTGACCACCCCGCACGCCGCCGCTGTTGTCAGCGAGAGCACCATTGTCCCGGCCGTCAGTTTTCTGGTCATGTGTCGTCTGGTTCGGCTCTGTGTGACCGCCCCGGGCCTGGTCTGTTGACTCCTCCACCTTGCTTCGGCTTCTGTGAGACTCTTCATCGTCGTCCGAGTAGTCGTCGTCCGAGTTCTCGTTTTCTGTGGGGATAAAGAACGTCAAGACAAAACATGACTCGATAAAGTTATTAACCCAATCCGTATGTCCTGGGGTCATTTTGTACGCCCGGGGTTGTATTCTTCACGTTTTAGAATACTTTGATGTGGTGTGCTTCTTGCTTTCCTATCAAACATCTATCGTCCTTATCTGTGCTCCTTCTTTTTTGTGTATGTTACTCTCTTGTAACACCTCTTATCTTCGGCACTTATATGACTTTATTGAGAGCGAAATGCTCGCAGCTAAACAGATTTGAAAACAACAACAACATGACCTTATTGTGTTGCAAGTGCTGTAAAACACTAACTAAAACTTTGAAAAGATCACTGAGAAACCTTCCACCTACCTTTCTTGACCACCATGAGCTGCTCTCTCCCGCCAAGTCGCGACAAAGGTCTGTCTTTGCCTTCCCTAAAGCAAAAAAAGTTTACGAAATGTTAAATTGAAAGCAAATATAATACTCAACAATGAGACAAAAAAAGTTTACGAAATGTTAAATTGAAAGCAAATATAATACTCAACAATGAGACAAAAAAAGTTTACGAAATGTTAAATTGAAAGCAAATATAATACTCAACAATGAGACAAAAAAAGTTTACGAACTTATGTTAAAATGAAAGCAAATATAATACTCAACAATGAGACAAAAAAAGTTTACGACACGTTAAATTGAAAGCAAATATAATACTCAACAATGAGACAAAAACTGCTCTCTCCCGCCAAGTCGCGACAAAGGTCTGTCTTTGCCTTCCCTAAAGCAAAAAAAGTTTACGACACGTTAAATTGAAAGCAAATATAATACTCAACAATGAGACAAAAAAAGTTTACGACACGTTAAATTGAAAGCAAATATAATACTCAACAATGAGACAAAAAAAGTTTACGAACTTATGTTAAAATGAAAGCAAATATAATACTCAATAATGAGACAAAAAAAAAGTTTACGAACTTATGTTAAAATGAAAGCACATATAATACTCAATAATGAGACAAAAAAAGTTTACGAACTTATGTTAAAATGAAAGCACATATAATACTCAATAATGAGATGAACAATGAAATGTACAAAATCTGGCCAAAACACACACCCCAGTAGCACCCATTGAAGCTGCACATTTGTTAAGTTGAGATGGGCTGGTTGCAAAACAAAACAAAAAAAAGATACAAAAACATATGTGAGGCAGCGTGGTGGAGTCAGGCTCTCGTCAAAATAATGAAATCGAAGAAAACAGCAGTTTTCTCCCTGCTTAGCAATTTTTATCAAATTTTTGTTTTTTGGCTCAACACCTTTTATGTCCATTTACAAACACATTCCTTTGAGGATTTCACCGAAAACGTTGATTAAAGGCACAAAAATATAAATTTACAGTCTCCATGGACTCTCCAGCTTTGGAATTTGCCTAGCTTTGGCGGCCATTTTTTCGCTAATGTTTCTTCTCAAATCAGTTGACCCCCACCTCCTTCAATCCAAAATATCTCCATTTCTATTGAAGATGGATGGGTAATTTTTTCATTGGAAGCAAGACAAATGAACAAGCTTTAAGATGATTCCGATAACTCAATATACCCAAAAATTGACGAGAGCCTGATTCCACCACGCTGCCTCACATAATTCTGAAACCATAATAAATCAGACAAACTGTTGAAGCCATGCTACCAATATTACATAACTGACACAACCAGACTTTATACTAAAATGTCACGATAGTTCACTCCCTAAAACAAGTATCTGTTACAAAGTTTTTGCACTACTATAAGTGTCCTGTAAACACAATCATCACCATCATCATCATCATCATCATCATCATCATCATCATCATCATCATCATCATCATCATTATCATCATTATCATCATCATCATCATCATCATCACCATCATCCAGTGCCAGATCTGCGACAGACATCGGCGATCATGTTTCTCCATTCATTCCTTTGCTCGAATGCTCTTAAAAAAGCTACTTTTCCCTGATCTTTTCCTGTCACCCACTTGTTCAGGTTCCCCAAGTAGGTTGCTCCGGGCCTACCCCTGCCTCGCTGGCCTTCAATTTTTGTTAGTGAGAGCTAGATGTTCAAGACCTTTAAACACAATAAGAAGGTTTTTTTCACATCTCAGCTAGAGAAGCAAATCATCTCCAAGAACTCAGAAGAACTTTAGCGCCCTGTATTTTTGAGAAAAAAAAACTTACAATGGATATTAGTTGAACTTTTCCTTACCCTATCAAAATCTTCATTACTGGAAATATTTCTGTCGTCTTTAACTTGTCCAGCTTGTTCACTCATAAACAATTGCGAGGCATCGTGGTCAAATCAGGCGCTCGGCAAAATAGTGAAATCAAAGAATCAGGCATTTTTACGTCACTTTGGCAATTTTTTTCTAATTTTTATTTTTTTGCTCAAAGCTTTTTATGTCCATATAAAAACACATTTTCGTGTGAATTTGACGAAAAACTTAATTAAAGGCACAAAATATGTAACTTTTCAGTTTTCAAGGACTCTCAAGCTATTGAAGTTACTAAACTTTGGCAGCCATTTTCTCTCTAATTTTACCCCTAAAACCAGAATACCCCAACTTCTTCAAATGCAAATATCTCGACATCCATCCAAGATAGATGGGCATTTTTTTCATAGAAATATAGACAAATGAACAAGCTTTATGTGGATACCAATAGCCCCACATGCACAATAATTGACGAGCGTGCGATTCCACCGTGCCGTGACACAACTCTGTTTACCTGTGTACGTGTCATAAACAGTTGTGTTTACCTGTGTACGAGTCATAAACAGTTGTGTTTACCTGTGTACGTGACATAAACAGTTGTGTTTACCTGTGTACGTGTCATAAACAGTTGTGTTTACCTGTGTACGTGACATAAACAGTTGTGTTTACCTGTGTACGTGTCATAAACAGTTGTGTTTACCTGTGTACGTGTCATAAACAGTTGTGTTTACCTGTGTACGTGTTGCTTCAGCTCTGGTCCATCCTCGGCAAACGAGTCTCCCCCATCTTGCTCCCCAGACGTGTCCTGAGCGCCATCTGTAGGACGGACAGACAGACACACAAAGACAACACACTCAGTTATCACAACAGGCAAGAAAATACGCCACACAGCTGTTTTTATGTTCGTCCTTTCTTCTGTAGATCAAACCGGGGGGGGGCACTACACACTGGCAGCTAGCTACAGTGCGTGGACTGTCTATATTGTCATTTTGTGTATTGTTGATTTCTTTTTTAAAAATCTTCATTATTATTTGGTAAAAACATTCCAAAGATGAAGTGACAGCAAAGCAAGACTGTTATCAGTAAGTCATGACTGTAGTGAAGGTCAAAAGCGATACATACGATAGTCTAAACCACAAGCTTAAGGTATTCCTGCAGAAGGCACATGGGCAGCATAATCATTCAATGGAATTATCTAAAATGAATACCAGACAAATTCCTTTTGGGTTCTAAATATTCCGTTCAAATCTGAAACACAAAACTTCAGTATGCTGGAAGATATTTACAAAACAAGTTGTATAGTTTTGTTTGGATCACCCTGTATATTCTGTAGTCTTCATGCAGCCTCTAATAAATTATTTTATTACGGCTAAAACTCACCAGAACCTTTCTCTTTCTTCTCCTCCACACTCTGCTTAGCTTCCACACTGCTCGTTGCCGTAGCAACGACCCCCTTCTTGCCCGTCCCTTCCCCTTTCTCCCCAGATGTTGCCTGTTGCTTCGGCTGCTCTGTTCCTTTCTTTTCTTCCTTCTTACTTTCTTCCAATTTGCTGGGACTCTTGGCGGGCTGGTACGTTTCTTTTGTGGATGTCCGAGGCTCCTGCTCCGACCCGTCCTTTTCTCTCGACCTCTCGTCCTGTCCCCCGATATCTCCGTACGTCGGATGATACTCGACTGCGTTGCCTCGTTGTTCGTGGGTGTCCCTGGCGGAAATCTTTGACCTCTCATCCTCATCTCCTAGCGACCTGTCATGCACTTCCTCCACCGTTATCGTTACGTCGGTAGCCCGGGGGGTTTCATCTTCCGGCTGAGTTTTCTGTTGGGGTTCAGCCTTGGTGTCTTTCGTCTCTTTCGAATGTTTCAAGTCGACTACGGGGGAAGTTTTAGCTTTCTGTTCCGACCTCTTGGAGTCTTCCTGGTTGTCCCCGGCGTCAGACAAACTGGACAGAGACGGCGACGGGGCCAGGGCGTCGCGAGACTTCAGCGGCATCGGGGACTCCACCCGGGCAGATTTTCCCGTCAAGTCCCCTGAACCTCGAGCTTTGCCAGATTTCTTGGCTCCGGTGTCTTGAGAGTTTTGTCTGCCAACTGCTCTCCTCTCGTTGGGTCTCTCTCGTGGCCTTTGACCTCTGGAGGAGGATGTTGACTGGGCATCTCTCGCTGATCTATTGGGCCTGAAAATTGTCGGGAAAAGATTCAGAATGTAACATGGAAATATTATCGCTTCTCAGCTGACATATAAAGAAGTTTTGTGAATACAATAAATTTCTGTGAATATGTATCTTATTTTACATGAGCAACAGATATTCAAATGCGTAACTATTTTTGTTTCTGTACTGGTTTGAAACAACAATCCTTGTAACAAAGTGAGAAAACAAAAAGTGAAATCATTTTTTACAAATAATTAAAACTAAAGTCTATTCCAGTAACAGACAAAATCAACAGAGGTATACTCAAAACCTCACAAATTTTAGCGAATGTACGTTATTAGCAAAGCAACTGCTGCTCCAAGAACAAGTGAGAAATCTGTGCGGACGTACTTAGTGGTGGTCTGGGTGGTGTTGGGTCTCGACTCGTCGTCCGGGTCTCGGCTCTGACTCGGCTTGCGGCCTCCTGGCGCAGACAGTGAGCGACTCTGCCTGTTAGGATCGCACGGGCCGAACTGTGTTTTGCGCGGCGTGGCCAGGTAACGGTTATATTTCTCCCAGTCCCGGTACTTGTACGTGCCTGTTAGATGGACAAGACAAGGAATACGAATGAGAAATATTAAAAAATGAATGAAATCAATTTTGTGAATATTTAAAGAACAGTCCGTAAACAGATCAGGGGAAAAAGAAATGTTCTTCTCCCTCAGTTCAAGAATATTTTCCCGTATAATTGAGAGGAAAGTAAATCATGTTTGTGAGGTCTGTATTCTGTTACTACTGGTAAGTTTATAAATGATGTCTATGTATCTAAAATTAACTCTACGTTCAGTGTGAAGACATATCGTACATGAGTGAAACTTACTTCTACTTCTACTTCTACTTTTACTGCAAGGATAGCTCCAATGTAGGAGGCATAGGACTCAACTCAAGATATCTTATTGTTTTAGTTTTAGTAAGAGTTTTACGGCACTTGCAACTCAATAAGGTCAAGTAAGTGACGAAGATTAGAGGTGTTACAAGAGAGTAACAAACACTAAAGAGAAGGAAGGGAGATAGAGACGATAGATTTTTTATAGGAAAGAAGGAGCAAACCACACCAGAGCACCCGCCAACCACCCACAAGATATCTTGAGTCAACACTAAGTGACCTATAGGCCTACATTTTAAAAACAAAGCAAAAAAAACAACCCCAGGCTAACATCAGGCACACTGACCAAACAAGAAATGGGCCAAACGTTATAGAAGCAGTGACATGCAATACTCAAGGGAGGAAAAAGTTGAACAAAAGCAACAATTTTTCAAGCAGCAGAATAGGTCTACATCAATTATGTTGATATTTTTGAAGGGATTCACAAACTTTTTAAACGGATACAGCACACTAAGTTTACGAGACTCAATCAGGATAAAAGGAGCATGGTGCGATTAAGACTTTTCTTTGTATCACTTACAAATGGCCGCTTTTAAGCACAAGGGGGCTATCCCGATAAAAAGCTGTTTGAGAAAACTGAAGGTAAAGTTTTTGCCCCTTGTTCAGTTTCTTTGAAAGACAAAAAGAGTTTTCTCTATAACCAAACAAATACACACTGCTGAAACCAAACTTCTCCTATAGGTAGGGCAATGCCCTCTTTTGGTGTAGGTCAAGATTTCTGGAAACCCCCAATATCTGGGTTAGCCCGCTTGTCCTTAAAAGCGACCAAATATAGCCATCACAAGGGCAGCAATGGGTAAAGACACACTAGTGAGAAAAGGTAGATGTTATTATGCTTTTCAGGCTGATATTTTCAGGAATAAATTGTTTGCAAAATGGAAATCTTAACTTAAATTTTATTTTCAAGGTAATCAATGTTACTTTTTTGCCTACCAATAAACAGTAGCTTAGTAAGCTTACAGCTAGGTCAGTTAAAACACCGGCAGGTTTTGCGTTAACTCTCTGGAACAGTGACACAGACAACTCTCCTCACACAGTTCCTATCACACGTGCAACAAACACATAGATGTTTACAAGTACTGATGCCGTCTTCCTCTTTGCCTTCACAGAAGAAACAATGTTTACTATTCTAGCCCTAATCAAGTGATTACACACCCAAGTGCCATGCACTAAATGGAAGGTCAATATAACATTTTTTAACCTGCCAGCCCCCCAATTTTTTATTGATTTGGTGTAATTATGTTGTGTTCTTTTCGTTGTCAGAATTTCTCTCTTCCCTCATTTGAAGCAGGCATGTGCAACTTCCAAGAATTGTGAAGTGTTCAGTTCTATTGTCTTTGACTCAGACCTAGAGGGGAATGTATAAGTGACAAGTGACACTAAGTACTGTCAGTGACGACACAGAAAGTGACCACCGTCGGGAGAGTGAGAAAACTACATGCATATATTTATATATTGTATTTTATATATATATACACATTTGCCAGCTGGTGGCAATGAGGGACCTGCACCTTTTCATCTCCAGTATGTCCGTGGTAACTCGCAATACCTGATCAATGTGAACATAGAGATGTGATTTACAATGTCAGGCATTTCTTTTTTCAGAAATATCATAGACCCCCCACCCCTCAAAGAAAAAAATAATTTCGTGTGCAAATCAATAACATACAACTTGTTAAAAAGTTTGGAAGAGGTTTTACGGTGCTCGCAACTGCATAAGGTCATATGAGCGCCCAAAGATTAAATGTGTTACAAAAGAGTAACAAAAAATAAAAAAGAAGGAGGGGAGATAAGGACGATAGATGTTTGATAGGGAAGAAGGAGCAAACCACACCAGAGCACTCACCAACCACCCACTTACATACAACTGAAACAAAACTGCTTAGTAAGGGAGGAGAACTCCCCACTATATCTCTCAGCACTGAGTGAGTCAAGTCCCTTTGCCTATTGAAACTATAGTATTTCAGGCAGTCTTTTCTAAGTTATGTTTCCTCTTATGGCCGAGCCTGTCTATACAATATTAATAGTAATAATATATAATTGACAGACAGAAAGTGCTGCATGTGTAGGGAAAGGAAAGTCCTGCAGGACTGAGATAGGCTGTCCCTCCTACAAATGTGAGGCAGGGCGGTGAAATCAGGCGCTCGTCAAATCAATGAAATCAAAGAAAACAGCCTTTTTTCTGAGAGTTGGGCAAATTGTTCTATTTCTGCGGGGATGTTACCACAAAAAAATGTAAATTTCAAGTTTTCCAGGACACTCAAGCTATGGAAGTCAGCAAACTTTGGCGGCCATTTTATCACTAATTTTACTTCTCATAGTAGTACAATAAGGCAACCCACCTTTTTCAATTGCAAGTATCTCGACTTCTATTCAAAATAGATGGGTATTTTTTTCCCTAAATACAAGACAAATAAACATGCTTTAAGATGATATTAATAACTATATGCCCAAAAATACATAAAAGTGTTTTTGAATGGACATACAAGGTGTCGAGCTAAAAAAGAAAAATTTAAAAAAATTTCCTATCTGGCCGAAAAATGCCGATTTCTCAGATTTCATTATTTTCACGAGCATCTGATTTCACCTCGATGCCTCACATATACGTTTGACCAGGACAACTGACACACTGTCTTCCTCAAGTTATCTGACTCCACGAGCCACTCCCTGAGGTTTTCCATTTTTCCAAGTTGTTTCACTTTCTTAGGATTTTCCTTCTGAAGTCTTCAGTCTGATGGGAGATTTGACACAGCCATCATTGTAAATGTATGTAATGTGTACAGTTTAGCTCGCATATAGCAACATTGGAGAGATGCAGGAATTTTTTCATTCTAATTCATTATGTACAAATTTCTTTTTTGGGCATTTTCAGTACAAAGAATAAACATGTACTAGAAGAAATTTTGGATGTGAAAATCTGTTTGCTATGTGCGTGTTTCGCAATGTGAATGCTAGACTTATATGTGTGTGTGTGTGTGTGTGTGTGTGTGTGTGTGTGTGTGTGTGTGTGTGCGCGCGCACATACGTGTGTATGTGTGTGTTTGTAGTCCCTCACCTTTATTGACCTCCTTCCACATAAGCTGTGTGTATTGCTCTGTTTCTGTGTGCATGTCTGTGTGTGTGTGTGTGTGTGTGTGTGTGTGTGTGTGTGTGTGTGTGTGTGTGTGTGTGTGTAAGTGTGTGTTTATATTCCCTCACCTTTATTGACCTCCTTCCACATCAGCTGCGTGTATTGTTCCTGTTTCTGAGCCCTCATGTCGCTCACGCTGTAGATCTTGGCGATGCTGGTCAGGTACCGCTTCTCCCCCCGCGACAGCCCCGGCCCGTTCAGAATGGGCGACATTGACCGGTCCTCTTTAGCAGTCGACACTCGGCTACGTGGGCGACGGTTCGCGTTGTACCAGCGCATAATGTCATAGTCCATGTGACCTTGACATTGAATGTGGTGATTGGGGTTGACCAGCGAACCATCTGAGAGACAGAGTAGACGACATGACTACTGTACTAACTTCCCTCTAAGAACTTAGTTGCATCATGATAATAATATTAATTAACCCAACAGAATTTCCATTTGTATTTATTTAATTATGAGTATGAGTATGAGAATCATTTTTAAAAGCTCACGAACATCAAAGAAGGGACACAGCAGTTTGAGAAGAAAGCTCTAAGAAGCAACAACCATCAAAGCTCTCCAAGACAACCGCCAACTCTCAAGGAGAAAATAGGTAATCTCAGATATTTCGTCCCTTTCTTTCTTCTGGAACATTGTCCCCCACTTTGTCAATGCCAGCCCTAACAAGTAAAGTCAAACTGAACCCCCCCCCCCCAATAAAAAACAAGAACTGTCTCAATGTAAGCATAAATATACAAACACTACTGAAGGGGAGGGCATGGAAGGGGGGGGGGGGTCACTCTCTCCCTCCAGAGTACACCAAAACTGTCTAGATGAAATCATAGATTATATATAAACACTACAGGGAGAGGGTGGGGTGGAAAACCAGTCAATGTCAAACCTCATGGGTGATTGAAGGGTTGGGGAGGGGGAGGGGCAGCCACTCTCTCCCTCATGAGTACTCACTGTAAAACCTTATGAAAGATTAGGGTTGGGGAGTTGGGGAGAGGAGGGGACCGGAGTACTCACTGTCAAACCTCATGGGCGGCCTCTGGTTGTTGTTGACCCAGGCGGGGCTCGGCGACACGCTGGGGGGGAAGATGGGCACAAACTTCTCGGACACGGACAGCGTGCAGTTCTTGTGGTGGTGGCAGTTGGTCTTGGGCTCCTCTGTGCCCGCACCAGACAACAGACAAAAAAACATCCATGACGCAATAGCCAAGAAAGATTTCCCTCCGAGATAATAAAGTATTATCTTATCTTATCTTATCTTATATTGTGTTATTGATCTGCCTATTTGATTAATGCTATAAATAGTCTTGAAAAGATGGGAGATTTCTTTTTACATGGCAGGTCTTGGGACTCTCTGAGCCCACACAATGACATTAATATTAATAGACAGCATTTTTGAAAAGCGCAAAATCCCGCTCAACAGCAAGCTCTATGCGCTTCACAATCTACACTATTACCCCAGCAGACCTGAGAGCATTCTGAAATAACCTCAACTTCCTGAGAAGCATACAACTGAGAAAAAACATCCATGAAGCACTATTGTGGAGTTAATCTATCTTTTTTATTATCGCTATAAGTAGTTTCGAAATGATGGGAGATTTCTTTTTACAAGGCAGTTCATCTTGGGCTTCTTTGTGCCTCCATAACAACAGAAAAACATATCCATGATGCATTATTGTGCTATAATTTCTATCTTACATTAATTAAATTATTAATCTATCTGCTTGATTAATGTTGGGAGTAGTTTTGAAATAATGGGGGATTTCTGTTTACATTGCAGGTTGCAGCTTTATGAGAAGAAAATGTCCCTTGTCTTTGGCACGTTTTTTATTGATTCTGGCTGTGTGCAAAAGTTCCCGTTCTTTTCTTCGTTGAGGGTCACAAAAATATAATATTGAACTTGGTTGATTTTTTAAAAAGATCTTTCTCCACTAGACAAACACACACACATACACAAACACACACACACACATGCAGACACATAATAACTCTTTCTCTCTCTCACTCTCTCGCTCTCTCTACCCCTTACCATACATCCCTCTCTCTCCTTTTTTCTTCTCAATAAAAAAAAGTCTAAGCATAATTGCAAAATACTTCAAATCACTTTAATGCCAATCAATATAAAAGTTTAAATTTCCATTTATTGAATATGATCCATCAAGAACCTACCAAAGGGTCCGAACGAACATTTGCCTCTCTCCTATACTAAATCACATATATTCTAATGTTTTCATCATAACATGTAAAAAAAAAATAGGTCTATCATATTCCGTATCACAACCAGTATACCTGATATGTGGCGATTAGGCTCCGGCTGCCTGAAAGAGAAAGGCAGAAAATCAAAGTTACAAAAATATTTTAAAAGCACCTTACCAACAAGATTGACAAGAGTAACATAGTATTAGGAGAAGAAAGAAGAAAAATGTGGCAAATATCGGTACAAAACAGGGATTCGGTAGATGGTCATGACTGTACAAAACACTCTTCTCCACCCCCACCCTTCTTTCTCTCTCTCTCCATTTCTCCCCTACTCTCTCTGTCTCTCTGTCTGTCTCTGTCTCTGTCTCTGTTTCTCTCTCTCTCTCTCTCTCT